AAAAAAAAAAACTTGTGACCAGTTAAAATTTTTTTTGGTTTTTTTTTTTTTTTTTTTTTTTTTTAAATAGTGTGTTAATCAGATTATTTATGAATGTGTCCGAACTCAATAGATATCTCTGATTCCACTGTTGCCCCCTTGTAGTTGAAAGGAGGTGGTTCTTATTTTCCTAAAACAAATACATATAATAATACATTTAAATATCTTGGGTCAAATAAAAGTAAAAAGGGTGTGATGAATACTTGAGAATCATTTTAAGGATAATGTCAGAAGCAAGAAATGTAAGGGTTTTTATCGGTAATGGCCTAGTTAAAAAAAAAAAAAAACTAGGTCATAATGCTCTCACAGGCTCACACCTGGTTTCCGCTGCATGCATGTTCACTCAGTGCGAGTAGTTTCTGTTGAGGTGTAAATGGTGCATAGAAACTGTGTGCTGGTCATGACACCATTAAACCAAACTGCAAAAAAAAAAAAAAAACAGTCTGTAAACAGTCATGCAGGGTTCCTCTTTTATTTGATCATGTTTATATATTTTTTAATGTAAATATATTATACTTTTAGAAATATAATAAATTAGCAAATATAAATACATAAATACAATTGCCAGAGTGCCATTTAACATGTAAAAAAAAATGTCATACTCACTAACATTTTTGCAGGAGGAAGAGGAAAAGATGGATCTCCCATCATCACCTTCCCAGAGTTCTCAGGATTTAATGAAGTGTCTGATGAGGATTTTGTTAATGTTGTCACATACCTGACCAGCATACCAAGGTGAAACCTCATTTATTTTTCTAAGGCTTATTGCCATTGGTAAGGAGCTTCAAAATGTGTAGTGAAACCAGCTGCAAGAACAAGCAGTTTTCTGCTTGATTTCTGTCTGATGGTTTTGGTTTTAATGCCTGACCTGTCTGTTTCTGTCCTTCATCTGTCCAGCATGGATGCTGCTAGCATTGGCTTCATCATCATCCTGGACCGCAGGAAGGACAAATGGAACTCAGCAATCACTTCTCTGGCACGGATAGCGGTTCGTATAGGCTCTTGCTGAAGCTTTATGAAGTTAACATGACATTTATAGATACAAGCAAAAAGAACAAGATGTACAATTGATAGGCCTATCAATTGAAATCAAGTTGAACAAGCAAGGTCCAGTTGGACTATTAAATGACTTTATATTTTTCAATTGATATTT